TTTGGAGTCTTAGTCACTAGCAAAAAGTGGAAATAATTCAGAACAAGTTTATATGCAGAATTTTCTTTTTGGAATATAATATACCAGGCAGTGAGATCAGATTAGAGCTGGACAGATACAAATTGAGTGCAACCTTAATAAAGAGATATATGAAATTTTTATTTAAATTAAGAGATGCAGGTAATTTATCAACGATATTGTTATATCAATTATACCGGAAATCATTGGTGAAAGAGCATGGTAGGAATTGGGTAACACAATTATCAAAAATATTGATCCATTTCGGTTATTCTATAAAAATATTCCTGGATTTACCTGAGATAAGTCATCAACATTGTCAACAATTAATACAAAATGTTTTAGAAATTTCACTATCACAGAACATTGAAGATTTACATAATAGAGAGAAACCTGATTGGTTTAATATAATTCTGGAGTATCCATTTAATAACAATTATATGCTACAAATTTGGCTTTTAATGTAAAAAGATTTTTTGTGCATAAATAAAGATTTTTTTGTGTGTGTAAATAAAGAATTGATAGTAATTAATAACAAAATTATCGAATTTTCTAAGAGTATGTGTCCAAGATGTCAAAAAACAATTTCAAAATTTCAAATGTTTTGTGACTGTAAAGATGCAAAAGAGTTAGCACAGAGTCTTGATCTACAATTTTTACTAAAATGTACTAATGAAAAGGCAATATATGTAGTATTCAATAGAGCCATAATAGATATAATTAATGGGCTATACAAATATGCTCAGAAATTCACTTTGACGTAATAATTGTAATAACCAAATAATAATAGAAAACTAAAATATTTGTACACATGTAAAGTGTAATATATAAATGTATTCATTTTGGTACAAATTGTCTTATTTCAAGTATATGTACCTAGTTGTAATATAGTTTAATTAGATTATGTGATAGAGAATTAGGTTAAATTGGGTTGATGATGATGTATAATTTAATGACAGAAAAATTGATTGTTATTAAAATATATCCCTCGTAACTGGCTAATGGCCTTAATACAAATAAACTGATTGATTGATTGATTAATTGATAATTATTTAAATTAAATGATTTTTTACTTAATATTATTCAAAAGCTTAATAATATTTAGTCATTAGACAATGTAGTATTATTTCTTTTGAATTTATCAGTAATGCTATTTTTACTTATAAATTAAATAATATGAAATGGAAATCTAAAATGTAATACTGTCATTAATATCAAAGAAAATGTAATACATGAATATTTTGAAGATATATTCCCCTTTTTAAAGAATTAAGTAATTAAAACTATGCATTTATAAATGAAACAAACATAAAAATATTGTTCCTTGTAATAAATATGTCTAGAAGATTTATAAAAGACAATTTGCAATATCTTAAATATTTTTTAAATATGAAANAATATATGAAGATTATGTGAATACTTTATAAAGTTTTTTAAAGGCTTGTCTAACTGTACTGCAGTTTAAATTGCCTGATGTAAAAACCTAGACAACTCTAAAACTGCATAGATACTTTGAATATTTTATATTGTAAATTATAATTCAGTTGAAAATATTAATGTGGTTTTAATTCTAATAAAGTAGAAAACTAGCAAATTAATGAAACAGTTCTAAACAAATTTACATACTATTACTAGTAATACTATTTTAAAAAATAATTTATTTTAATCATACATTTTCATTTTTCAACATTATCATCATTTAGTATGACACATTATTCCAAATGTTTAACTTCTTTTGTAACTTGTGCATGAAAAACTTTTCCTTGATCATTCCTGTATAGATGTTTGAAGTTCATCATCTGAGAAAAACATTGACCTTTCAATGTTTCATTTAATTTTGGAAACAATCAGAAGTCTGACAGTGCCAGAAATGTGTTAAGGAGGCTGTACAGTAGAACAATCTACACCTTCAGCTTCTTAAACATATCTGCTATTTCTTTATCACAGACAATCTTGCATTAGCATTATGCAAGACAAATTTGGTTAATTCGAAAACTGTTTAATAAAATTATTAAAATGAAACAGATATAACAATGAGTAAAAGTTTCTTCTTCTAAAAGTGAGACTAGTGATCTTTATCATGTCTTTCTTAATTATCCTCAATAAATAGATGACTCACTTTATTTGTATATTTAACAATGCATTTTGGATTGGTGTTATCCAATCCCTCTTCATGCTATAAATTTTAAATTTAAAAAACAATTTTAAGAAAAATAAAACATTCAGTAAATCTTCACAACATAAACAGACTAATTAAACTAAACACATGTATAAACTGTATTTCCAAGCAAATAAGAGTGAAAATTGTTTGTTTTTTGCATTTTTGAAAGACACCTGTTTTACTTATAAGAGCATATCTTCCATATAAGAACATGATCTTATCTGCTAGCTTGTTTTCACTTATAAGAGCACTGCACTGCTGTGTCAATGTAAATTAAATGAACTGTACTGTACATGTAATGTTATAGTTGATAAAAATAAAAAAATGCTTCTGACATAAAATTTTAAAAAAAATAATGAGTAATTTTGATTCTTTACAGAATATAGTACTGTTTTGTCCTATCTATAAGAACATTCACTTATATGTGCAAAAATATGGTATAATACATAAAAAGCAATGTCAGAGACTTCTTTTTCTACACCTCACTATTATTCATAAAACAATTTGCAGCTTATTTTGACATTTTCACAGTCCTCAAAGTCACAGAATCACAAAACACTGAAAAAATATCAGTGAATGGCAGTCACATGACTATTGGAAGCACTGCGACACATCAAGTGTGACACATCTGTGTGCTGTGGAACAAGCCTGTGTTGATTCCAGGCACATTTGGCAACAAACATGAACTTTTGTGTTTAGGTAATCGCAACAAAAAACTTTCAGTGTTTGGAGCTTTTCAGGATTTCAGATAAGAGACTGTATAAGATGTGTTTCAAATTTATACGGACACAAAAAAATTAAAGTGAAACACAAACTTGCTGCATTAAGTGACAAATGTTTTATTAAAAATAATATGGATTTACATGTTTCTACACTGCAAAATAAGAATTTTAATCAAACATTAACATTTTGTCACTGAAAATAATATTTTTGAAAATCTTATACAAAAAAACTGTTACATATTTATACGGACAGGCACTCATTTTATGACTTAAACAGAATATTGTTTAGTTTCAAGCATTGAAATATGCAAATTAGCTTACATATTTAATTGTAATACAAATTCTTTACGTTGTTCAACGTTCTAAAATGGGTAGAGCAAAAAATTTATCTGATTATGAAAAAGTGCAGATTGATGCCTATAAATCACAAGGCAAGTCAATAAGAGAAATTGCAGCATATATAAATCGTTCAAAATCAACTGTTGGTAATTATTTATCAAAAAGACGTGGCAAGGATGTACCAAAATTCAAGACAGGTCCAAAACCCAAGCTTACTCCTCGAGATTGTAGACAAATCATCAAGGTTTGCTCCACAAAACAAACATCAGTAAGAAAAATAAAACAAGAATTAGACTTGCCTTGTAGCAGCACAACAGTGTGGAGAGTTTTAAATAAATCTCCAATGTTAAAATTCAGAAAAAAAGCTGTAATGCCACCACTTTCATTAAAGCACAAAAGTGACAGACTTGATTGGGCACAAAAACACATGACATGGTCCGAAGAATGGATTGAAGTTTTGTTCAGTGATGAAAAAAAATTCAACTTAGATGGTCCAGACGGTTGGAAGTATTATTGGCACGATTTAAGAACCGAAAAACAAATATTTTCAAAACGCCAAATGGGTGGGGGATCAATAATGGTGTGGGGTGCGTTTGGATTCAACGGAACCACAGATTTAGCATTTATAACTCAAAGAATGAATTCAAAGAAGTATCAAGGCATGCTTGAAGATCATTTATTGGAAGCTGGACCAAATATTTGTGGACCAAATTGGATCTTTCAACAAGACAATGCCCCTGTGCATGCCTCTAAATCAACAAAAATGTGGTTTAAACGTAAAAATATTAATCTGATGACATGGCCTGCTAGAAGCCCTGACCTGAATCCGATGGAAAATCTTTGGGGGATGATGGTTCGTACAGTTTATGCCAATGGAAAGCAGTTTTCCACAATTCATGATTTGAAGGCAGCAATTTCAGATGCTTGGGATAAACTTAAGATTGAATTCCTTCAGAATCTAATTGAAACAATGCCTAATCGAGTATTTAATGTAATTAAGTTAAATGGTGGTTACATTGGCCATTAAACTGTAAGAAAACTTTGCAATTTGAAACCTGTCCGGATAAATATGTAACAGTTTTTTTTGTATAAGATTTTCATAAACATTATTTTCAGTGACAAAATGTTAATGTTTGATTAAAATTCTTATTTTGCAATGTGGAAACATGTAAATCCATGTTATTTTTAATAAAACATTTGTCACTTAATGCAGCAAATTTGGATTTCACTTTAATTTTTTCGTGTCCGTATAAATTTGAAACACACCTTATACCTGTATATGGAAATATTTATACAATAATACTTTACTACAAGATTTTGCCTTTAACCTAAGCTTTCATAGAAATTTCAAATAATACAGGCAAAATATATGAAGATTATGTGAATACTTTATAAAGTTTTTTAAAGGCTTGTCTAACTGTACTGCAGTTTAAATTGCCTGATGTAAAAACCTAGACAACTCTAAAACTGCATAGATACTTTGAATATTTTATATTGTAAATTATAATTCAGTTGAAAATATTAATGTGGTTTTAATTCTAATAAAGTAGAAAACTAGCAAATTAATGAAACAGTTCTAAACAAATTTACATACTATTACTAGTAATACTATTTTAAAAAATAATTGTTTCATTATTTAAGGTTAACATTAAAAAGATTCATTAAAATCAATAAAAATAATAATACATAATGCATTCTAATATTAATTCTATTATACATAATAAAATGCTATTATTAAAAATTCATTATGATATGTTCATTTACATACCATTAAGATTATTATGAGAAGATTCAGATATTGTAGAATTCTCATTTACAGTATTCATTTCATTCTGTTCCATTTCTGATGAATCACTTGTCAATAGTTCAATTATCATATCAGTGATAAAATGAATCACAACTGGTTTTACATTTGGAGAGCAATAAAGTCTCATCACTTCAGACAAAGGAGAAAGACTTGGATTTCTAGGATGACTCTTGACCAATAATGAATGATATCTAATATTAAAAAAATATTTTTTAATGGATTTAAATAAAATACAATTATTTAAACATTTTTAGAGAAATAGGATTAAAAAAAAATATTTATATCATTTTTAGGAAAAGACGTTATTTTTCTGTGACTTATTAATGTCCCTTGATAAGCAAGGAATAGTTCACTAATTTATTATAATCTCATGAAAAGTCTATTTCAATAAAACAATATTTTTTCATCAGTTTAGCTTAAACTAATTGTTTTTACTTTATAATGTAAATAAAAACTGTATCAAGTTCAAACTTATGGATCATATGCAAGATGGTACTGATAAGCATAAAAAAGTGTTTTACACCAAGAACAACAAATAATAGTTACAGAGAACATTATTGCAACTAAGATGTAAATTATAAAATTTGTTATGAACTGATATGTTGAAGAACTTTCAATTGTCATGTTTATAATCAATAAACACTTCAAAATTTTGAAAGCAACAGTATATTTTATATTTAATAAAGATATCAAAATAAAGTAGTTCACCACTCCAGAAAAGGTTGTGAATATATGTTTGGAACTAATCAACTAATGGCTCTATTAATATTTTTAATCATTAAAAAGTAGAATAGATGTGAAAGAAATTGCATCAATATGGCTTTATGATATAAAGTGCATTAAGGGTTGTTATCTTCTGTGTATGTGTAAAAGTGAGTTTTTGACAAGACTCATGCAAATGCAAAAACACATAAACTTAAAACAACTATGCTAGTATATACAACCCTATATTACGCTGAATTCAGGAATTGTCCATTTTCATGAAATGGGCAACTTTCCAACTCAGCATAATATGTGCATATATTACATAAGTTTTAATGTACTGTTATAAACTTAATTTGATGTAAAAACATAACTTGCCTTGGATTTTCACACCATGTGGCAAAAAGTCGAAGGAGAGGAGATCGATGATTCAATGCTTCTTTTTCCAAACGTGGTAACTATTTTAAAATACAATAATTTTTTTTTAAATATATTTTATAAAAATAAAAATAGTTATAAAATAATACTTACTAAATTCCACACAACAGTTTCAAATGCTGCATCAATTTCAATTTCAGAATATAAATATAAATCATAATATTTAAAGAACTAAAAAAAATATATAAAAATTTGTTAATTTTTAAAATTATATTTAAAATCAATTTGCTTTTATTAAAGTATTTACCTCAATAAGTCTCTTTATGCATATAGTCCGACTTGATTTTGGGACATCAGTGGAATTTTCTAGAGAAGTAACTATTATAGATGTTATTGCAATTAATATTTGGTAGAGTTTAGGTAGCAGAGTAGAAATTAGATTGCGAAGATGATTAAATATTGTTCCCAGGGTATTTAGAGCACTATTTACAAACAATACATACATATATATATAATTCAAACAGACATGTTATAAATCTTTCAAAAATAAAATAAACATTATTAATAATATATTAGTAATACGATATATGCCATTATATTACTATCATTACTTTAGGACACTTTAAACAATACCAATATCAAAATGATGATGGTAAGTTTAATTAATTCCCAATGATGCACTTTTATTTACATAATATAAGAAAAACATAAATAAAACATAAAATTTTAATTTAAATTAATTTACAAAATATTTAAAGAAATTAAAAAAAAATAACTTAAAATAAGAATTTAAAAAATTCTACTAATTGTCCAACATTTATTCAAAATAATTCATTAGTATTCCTTTCATAACAGAAGTATAAAGACAATAAATTGACAGAAACCTTTTATAAATAAAATAAATGGTAAAACTCATATCTCACATGCAAATTAGAAATCAAAATTCTTACATCCTTTAGTTCAATATGCCTTTATTCCTTTAGTTCAGATGGAAAAAAAAAGAGAAAAATACTTTTAAAATCAACTAGAAAATTGTAACAAAACTACAAAGACAGTTGGTTAAAGATAATACTGACAGTATAAAAGATAGTTGTGTAAATGCATAAGGAGACATCACACAGATAGTAAAATGAAATAGTAGCAGAGTAAATGAAAAAAATCTGCTTGTACACAAAGTCAAAATGACTTCACTATAGTAAGTCAATGTCATATGGACAAATAGAAATTGCTTTAAAATTCTTGAAAATGTCATGTATAATGTAATCTAAAAAATTATAATTATCATCAGGAAAACAAAGTGGAAGAATAAAATCTGAACTTCCAGAGAATCACATTATATTATAAAGTTAGTAACAAATCACATGGTTTGTCTAGAAGAGCAATAAATTATTAAAGAAATTTCCAATCACAGTATACATGAAACAATCTGGAAATGTTTAAAGAAAACTGAGAAAAAGATCATCAAAGGGCATAGGATAAGCATGGTAAATTGGCCCAAGACAGATAATTTGAAAATTCATCTAAAATTAGATATCAGTAAGTGATTTAATTTACTGCCCAATATTGAACCAAATTTTTCAGAAATTTCGAGGTCACATTTAAAAATTACATTTTTGAATTTTCCAAAATATTATGGTTTTTTTGCGATGATGATTAAATATTGTTCCCAGGGTATTTAGAGCACTATTTACAAACAATATATATATAATTCAAACAGTAATGTTATAAATCTTTCACAAATAGGATAAAAATTATTAATAATATATTAGTAATACGATATACATCAAGTTGCAAAGTAAGCAATTTGTCATTACCAGAAAAGTGAAGCACACAAGATGGTATATATTAGAAAATTTTTGGTGCAAAATTCAAATTAAAAAAATAAATAAAGTTTTAAAAAAACATGATATCATTTGATTCATAACAGGACATAATTTTCAAAATTTTTAGGAATCTATATACAGTTGAGCATTGATTATCCAAATACCAATCAACTGAAACATTGGTTAACCAAAAAGCGTTCCAGTCTGCAAATTCAAATTTCTGCTAATACTGTGGCGCTGCAATATTTGACTGTCTTGGACTACTCCAATATTATTTTTGTTGGTGTGTGTCTTTTAGTTGGCAGCACTGGCGCAACCATGAGAGGGTACTTAAGGACGTGCCAATATTTGAATGAGGCTTTTTTTCCCATTGTGAGTGGTGAGTTTTACTTCAGCTCATCAGAGAATATAGCTCAAGCAGCTTACATCTCCAAATAAACCCAAGAAAAAGTTTTGCTTATTTTGTGTGGTTTTTTTTTTTGAGGAATGTGTGTCGTGCTGAATTAGAATGTTTTTGATACTAGATTAACTTCTAAAATATAATTTTTTTCGTTTTTATATTTTTCAATATATTTACAGTAGAGCGTTGTTTATCCAAAAGTCAGTTATCCAAAAGAATTCCAGTTGGCAAATTTAAATTTTCACTAGTGCTGTGGTGCTGCAATCTTTGGCTATATCTTGGGCTACTCCAATATTTTTTTTGTTGATGTGTGTTTTAGCTGGCAGCACTGGCACTTTTGTGTGGTTTTTTTCTGAGGACTGTGTCGTGCTGAATTGAATGTTTTTGATACTAGATTAACTTCTAAAGTATTTTTTTGTTTTTATATTTTTCAATATATTTATTTTGTTTGTAAAAAATAAAGAAATAATTTTTAATGGTACAATAGCCATGATTATTATTTTAAAAAGTTTACATTAGGCTTAACATTGATGAAAATTCAACGCGAAACGACACGCAACGGAGAAAAATTTCAACATGGGGCATTTTTTCATACATAATTGGTTATCCGAACAAACCCAGTCCCCAATTGATTCGGATAAAGGACACTCTACTGTATTTTGTTTGTGCAAAATACAGAAATAATTTTTAATGATTATTATTTTTTTTTAAATTTTTGTTAGGCTTAACATTGACGAAAATTCAACGAAAGCGACATGCAATGGAGAGAAGTTTCAATATGGGATAGGTTAATATATTTTTCATACACAATCAGTTATCTGAACAATCCCAATCCTGAATTGTTTTGGATAATTGATGCTCTACTGTATTACACTATACCAGGCATGGCCAACATACGACCCGCGAGCCAGATCCAGCCTGTCTAATGAATTTATGTGACCCGCAATCAATCTTCCAATATTAGCTACTGAAGTCCGAATAGCTTGATGAAAAATTCTGATGTCTAAAAAAAATAAAAAAAGGCCAACAACTCACTGTATGTTTAGAGTTAACCCTCCATTACAATTCTTGTAAGTACAGCGTAGAATGTTGATAAAGCATGATTATGTGAAAAATGTATCTGTAATCTCTATCTACAATTCAGTCTCTACGGGTGACACCACAATTAGATCTTGTACCACCTCAAAATCTTCCTAGAGCAGCCTCTGGTTCGGCCCATAGAAAAAGTTTTCTTTCCAATTTGGCCTGGGGCAAAAACTGTTGCCACCCCTGCACTATACTATACTATACTATACTGCTAGAAATTGCTAACTTCATTTGACAAATGCAATATAGTTAAAAAAAATAATAAAATCTAAAAACAGTTAATAAAAAATGGTCTTAAGTGACTAAATTTGCAGTTAAATCACACAAAAATTACAAAAACTATTTTCCCGAGTTATCTAATCTGTTATGATATTAATATACTATAGAGTTTATTTTTTAAATATTAATTTTTGATGTGAAATTCAAATTTGAATCTGAAGCCCTATCTATGCATATGCATAGCTTGTGCCATTTTTGCAATACTGTTTGATTTTGCACATTCTGTGATTGTTTCAAATACAAAAACAAGGTATGTTATCATGCAATGTTAAAAAAAAGGAATATTAAAAGTTATTTACTTTATTTTGTCGTATAATTTATTCACTACATTAAAAGCACATATTACCAAAAGTAAGGGATATTTATGTTGATAATTATAAAAGTGTTGTGAAAAACATTTAATACAGATGTGTAAAAACTAAGTATCAGTTTTCATTTGAAATATTTGTTTTATAAAAATTTCTGTTTTTTATACTTATTAACTTAATATAGATAGCAATATCAATTCATCTTATTTTATGTGAGTGATTTAACTTATGTCCAGAATTTCAGTAATGGTGATGTGACTGTATGTGTCATATAGTCCCAATTTGTTTCTTTCTCTAGGTACTCTAGGTCCATTCAAATGTTGCTGCTTCTCATCATTTTGGCAACAATGTCATGCCTGCAGAATAAGTCTTTTGGCTAATGCATCATATGCAGCATATACTTGTGCAATGCTAAAAGATTTCTTTTGCACCTAGATAAATGTTAAAGTTAATCTGTATAATAATAATAAATGCTAAAAGTAACTTGAAAACATTTTATGTCAACAATATTCATTGACATGAGTTCAAAAGTCACTTGTTAAGCTTCTATTCCTGTAAATAACTAGATTAAAAAATTGACAATCTACTTCTAAACAGAAGATTTTAAATAATTTACTGGGTCATTAAGTAGAGAAAAAAATCATCAGAAACTTGTTAGTTTTCAAGAAATTCAAAGAAGGTGTATAAGAATATCAATTAAAGTATAGACTGATATACAGAAAATAAATAGGAGAGAATTAAAGGCAAGATTTGAGCTTTTGACACTTTTGAGAAAAATCACAATGGTAATGAATATATCTGCATTGTGCAAACAATGTTTCATATTTTGTTTTTTGAAAGATGTTTTTGATATGTTTACATAAAGAAAAAGCTGTTTTATGAGTTCTTAGTCACAAGTTAAAAGTAGTAGATAAAAAGGCTTACCATAATATTTTTATTTCAAACCAGGACAATTTTGAGAAAATACTCACAACAGAAAACAAAGCCTATTAGGATAAGTATCTGTGATTGAAAAAGCTAAATAAAGAAGTTGTTAACAAAAACAATGAGTTAAAAGCAATTTTTAGTAACTTAACTAAACATATGTTATTATTAAGTAGTTATTAATATTTATCACTAGTGTAAACTTTCTTTAAAAATTCTTTGTCCCTTAAATTGGTACATTTAAAATATGACAATATATTTGAGGAAGTTCTTATTGCTTGCCTTGTTATTTCAAGTGATTTTTAATGTTTGAATGCCTACCATGAGTTACTGAAAATTCTGAAAAGCACAGTTCATATTTCACTTTGTCAAGACAATCATAGACTTTTTTCAATCATCAGTAAACACACAGTTTCTTTTTGGAATTTTAGAGATTAAATTAATTTAATGCACAGTATGAAATAATCGCAAATGCAAACTAGCAATTTGAACTTGACTAAGGTATGACATGCGCAGTAATGACGTGGTCAATGTAAGTTTCATGTTGCCAACTCTAACTGAAACAAAATATCTAAAAAATAAAATAAAAATATCTGGATCTCATAGGCTACTTGCTATTATAAATTCTGTAAAAAAATATAAGAATGACGAAATAAAACATCTAAATTCATTAGGCCATATGCTATAAATTTTTGGGGAAAACATCTAGACTAGTGGTTCCCAATTAGTTTTTCTTGCATACCACTTCAAGAAAGAGCTCAAACTTGCATACCCCATATAGCAGAAATTCGTATTAATCCATACTAATATTATAAATTCGAAGGTAATTCTGTCTGTCTGTCATCTATACATGTCTAAACCGCTGAATAGGTTTTAATAAAATTTGCCACAGAGATAGCTTACATGTTGGAGATGGACATAGGCTACATTTTACTGCGAGAAAATATCTTACTCCCACAAGAAAATTTGATATAATGTGGGCAAAGCTGTGGGTAGAGAGCAAGTGATAAATAGAATAAGTTTTTTTTTACATTTATTACCTTTAAAATACAATTCTAATAATAATGAAAATAGCATAAAGTTATTTAATTTTAATGTGACAAATGTGCACAATTTTTTTTGTACAACTTTGTAAAATCTGGTTTCTTTTTAGTCAGCTTCAGTCTCGAGTCATCTTCGAGTTGAAGTTGTTGACAACGTTTAGTTTTCATGTTTGTCATGGCTGAAAATCTGCTCTTGCAGAGGTATGTTGTGCAAAATGGTAGTAAATATTTTACTGCCGCATCGCTGACATGATGATAATGATAATTGTACAATTAATACAAATTGTGTTTATTGTACAATTTTTGTTTCTTGCATAAGAATTTCATTTAGGTATTGTCACAAATGCATTTTTTTGATGAAATTTTAAGAATATTTTTAGTTATAAATAAACAAATTTGTGCATTCGATACCATGTTGTAAATTGCCGAATTTTTGATGGTCCACCCATTATTTTTTTGATTGCTTCATCTCATGCATTTAAATTTAAAATACTAATTTTAGATTGCCGCACGTACCACTAATTGGGAACCATTGATCTAGATAGCATTAAAGGTACTCAAATATGGATATGAATTATTTAGATTGGCAACAGTGAGTGTAATAGAGGGGATTATTTAGTTGCCAAATTGCCATTTTACTCGAGGCTGAACTATTTTACTTCTTGTATATTCAGCACTTAAAATTTTACCAAATAAGCAGGACAAAATGACAAACTAGCAGGGATGCTGGGACATCATCATCAAACTGGGACAATCCGGTCAAAATGGGACGTCTGATAAGATTATAGATAACTGCATCATCATATAATCCACACTTACTTTCAAACTTACTTTTAAACACAGGTGTGGATTTTCTGCACAATAGTTTCAGTGCATAATGATTTGTTGTTTTTGTAAAGTTAGTAAAAGTAGTCTAGTAAATTTAATAAATAGAATAAATAATAATAAAATCAAAACTTACCTGATTTGTATACGAAGAGGATATAAATCCATTAAGTTATTCATTTGCTTAATATTTTTCACCATGGTAAGAATATCATCTATTTATAAAATAAATAATAACTTTTGCTTAAGTTATTTTTTTATAAGTCAATATGAGAATATTATGTAGAATCACCTTTAAAATAAAAAATTTTTATTTTCATGTTTAAAAGTGACACATCAATTCCTGAATAATAAAATATTAAAATACAGATTACATCAATGAATGCAAGCTGTTTGCAGTAATGGTCCATTCTAATACTGTATAGTACAGTACTAAATGGAATGCCCACCAGTGTCTAAGTGCATAAAAGTACTAAACTCTGGTAATTAGTTTTGGGTTCATTATTGACTAGTGGACTGGCCATGTAAAATTTTCTGTACATATATAACTCCTAAAATAGGAGCCAGTTTCTCATAAACAGAGTTCCTACTCAAATTTTTGTTTTAAATTCCATGACTTTCCCTGACCAACTTTGTACAAATTCTCTGACCCTCCTGTCCATTATGGTATGGCACATTAACAAAATAAAACATCACTTAACTTACTATCCACATACGCTATTGCTTCTCCAACTTTTTAACTGGTTATTCTTTCTAATTAATAGTTATATATTTTTTTTATAATTGATGAATTAGTAAAATTTAAAATAAAATAAAAAAGACAGAATTATGGCATGTCTTTTCTATATAAAACTAAAATGTTTTATTAAATAATTTATCCTGTTATTAACTTACGACTGTAAAACTTCACGGCTTTGAAAAAAAAAGCCATTAATTATTAAAAAATTCTGTATAATCCATGTAAAAAAGTATAAATCTATTAAATCTGTTTCTTAATAAATTTTCCAAACTTTATAAAACATTAATAAACTGGGAAAAAGTTTAAAAAATCAGACATTGTTTTGTTATCCAATCAAAATTATTAAAATGAAAAATGATAAATAATACCATTTGAATTAATATTAATTAAGTTATTTATCATTTTTGGTTCTTTATTCTCATTTTTTTCCATCAGTTCATTAACATCTGCCCTCAAATTGAAAATGTAAATTGCAAGAGATAGAAAGTTAAAATATTTCAAAAATTTTTTAATCAACATTAGATTATTAAGAGTATTAGATTTTTCTCTCAAACTTATAATACTGCAAAATTAATACAACAGTTTTAGATTAAAAATATTTTAAAATTTAAAAATAACAATTAATATTGTTGTATGCTTGTATATTTTGTGCGCTATAATTTTGGGGTAATTTTGTATATGTTTGGGTAAAATTTTGGATCCTGAAAATATTCTACACCCTATTTTCATAAGTTGCATTGTACCACAATACTTCTTGCTGCCTGCAGACAGCTACACTTGATCAGCCATACTGTCAGCAAACAAAATCAATAAGGCAACCAAGGAAATAAATTCTCTGACTTTTTGACAATTTTTAACAAATTCCTTGACTTTCCGTGACTTTTTCTGAACACTAATGAAAATCCCTGATTTTCCAGGTGCTTAGGAACCCTGCATAAAAGTCTTCCCAGGAGGCACTCCTTTAGCAAAGTGCCCAATGTATTGCATTTCAGTATCTCATCAAACAAATTAAATGGATTTAGTATCCAAAAACAAAATTGATACTCCAACAAAAACAATATGTTTATGAAATAATAGTAAAGTTTTTCTTTAAATACTGTATGTTAACAAGAGAATTCAGAAAAAATTATTAAATGGAGTTAATAAATATGAAAACATATACAAGTGTCAGAAAAATGTATTAATAATTAAACCAGCATTTATATCAGGTTCATCAATATTTTTCTCCGATTTAATTTGATATATTTTTAGAAAATACAATCAAATTTTGTATAAAATTATTGAACAAATATATAATTATGTTTCTTCTTACTAAATTCTGAAGATTAATTTATTGAGTGTAAATGAAGATTTACTTTATTTACATGTCACCTGTTGGAGGAATCTCAGCAGTTCCAAAACTATAGCAATAAAGTTTAATTCCACTCAATGTGCTTTAAACAATATATTGAGTTTAGGAACATGGGGTTTTTCCTATTCTGTTGGTGAAATATTTTGGAATAAATAGATTTTAAACTTAGGATGCTTTTATCTTGGCTACTTAAACTAAATGACGATTTAATGAGTTGGTTCCAAAGTGGAGTTTTACAGAGAAATTTCAGGAGTGGCATGTAATTGGAAGTGGCCACAAAGCAAGGTTTTATTTTATAGGTCTGGAAAACAAATTCCATTGGGAAAAGGATTGCTTTAACAAAAATCACTTTAAAAAATTCAGAAAGACAATTATCTTCTTTAGTATAACAGAAAAAGAACATTATTGTTTATATAAGACTAAACTTGAAAGCTGAACCAAGCAATTCCATCTAATAAGAATAGCAGTGTTGCTCAACAAAACTTATAAGAAAGCAATTTCAATTGTGACATCACCACAATGCCAGGGAGCAATTTTTAATCATATTTTTAATTTATTTAATTTAAAATATATGCTCTTCACCTCAAATTAGTACTGTAGTGTCTTGCCCCTGTGCATCATATTTTTCCATTAGCAATGGAGTCATGTTGATGATCTAACTCCTTTCGAGGGAAAATTTTTGAATTGAAATAACATGACTTCCATTTTGCATCAGAAGTTCATGTATAATTAGTTAGGACTTCCTGCCCTAAGCTTTATATATCTGGTCTTTACTTTCATGTATCTAACTGTTCTTGAGATTAAGGTAGGACAGACAGCAGTGGGAATTTATAGGTCTCCGATGCTTTCAAATTGCAGACCAATAACAAATACAGTCAACTTAATAATTACTTTAAATATTTAAGAAGAAATGGTGGCCTAACTGCCTACCTCTAGCCAAATTATTTATTAATTAATTTGCCTTAAATAGTCCAATAAAGGAATCAAGCTGTTCATTTGATATTTATTTAAAGCAATTTTTAATTCAGAAGAAAATATATCTTTTATTTTTTTAAAATTTTTTAAAGGATAAAAATTAAATCCTTCATAAATAAAACAGCAATAGAGACAATAGCAAATAGAATACGATGTTTAGATCAGATTTTAGTTGCATTACAAATTGGAAAACTGTCTTGCTTTATATATCAGAATCTACACATGTGTAGATCTGATATTGAACTCTTACTAGGATTAGATCTTACCCATATATTCTAGCTAGAACTAGACAAAAAAACCTGCATATTTCAGACTATTAAGGATAAAATAAAAAGAGAAATTATTTCTAACTATACACATGAAGAATGGACAGATAATAAACAAAAAGGGAAATTAAAACACAATTAATACACCACATGAATAATGAATGTCAGGATGGAAAAAAGAGAGAGAAAGGTAGATATTCTTCTGTCTGAATTTAGTAAAGTATTTATTAAAGATAAATATGATATATTGCAAATAAATATAGAATAATGAAAAATTAATTTAATAAATCATGCCTATTAATTTAAGGTCTTGTAGGCATTCATTAACAGACCAAAAGTGTATTAAAGAACAGATAAAATTAACCTGTTCTTATATATTTTGTATTTTTAGTAAAGATGCACCAATAAGCAAAATGGCAGATTACCAATTAATCAGTCACGTATTATTGGCTGATTAATATTAATAATTTATTGTGTTAATAGTTAAATAATATTATGATTATTATCACATGAAATTATGTATTCTTAATAAAAATATAAAATTTCATACAATAAAACTAATTTTATAACAGTTTGTTATAAAAATAATTTTTAATACAAAGCTATTTTTTTCTTTTTCAGATTCATGTATTAGATTAAAATAATAAATTATTATTTTGAAAAAACTTCTTAATTTCAATTATTAGCCAAATCCAAACCCTTTATGTCTTCCAGTATCACTTGTAAATTTTTTAAGAAAGATAAAAACAAGAAGTTTTCCAGGTGCAAGTGCCAGGCTTCTGTAGAGGTGAAAAAAATGCTAAAGCTTTTAACACCACAAACACAATAAATTATCTCAAAAAATGTCATCATAAAAACTTTTTAAAAGAAACTGGAAAGATGAAAAGAGAAGTTCCAAAACCAAAAAAGCTAGATGTTCATCAGTAACAACAGAAATGCATATCCAAAGACAAGCTACTTTAACTCAATTAATAGAGAAGAAAAATTGTGGGATATAAATGATCAATGGTCCAAAGAAGTTCATTATTTGATTGGAGAAATGATAAGTGTAGATATATAGCCATACTCTGTTGTATCTGATTTAACATTTCAAAGATTACTAACAAAAATCATTCCTAATTAAAATATTTCCAGCAGAAAATATTTTTCTGAAAATATCATCCCTGATATATTTCAAAAAGTTCAGTCAAAAATTCAGAAAGCAATTGATGATGGAAAATATATTTCTTTAACTGCTGATATTTGGGCAGCAACTACAAAAAATTCAATACAAAGACATAGTAACCCATTTTTGTGGTGAAATTCAAAAAAAACTTTTTCCTAATTTGAGCAAAATAGCTATGAAATATTTAAGTGCCCCACCATCATCCATTAAAAGTGAAAGAATTTTCAGCATTAGAGGTAACATTTATGAGCTGGCAAGAAATAGGCTATGCCCTGAAAATGATGAAATTCTCATGTTTTGCATTACAATTTAAGGGTTTTACAATTTGAATATTAAATTTTTATTTGTTTTATATGTTTGAAGTTTAAGTTTTAAATAAAAAAATAGTTTTGAATAGGTTATATTATACCTTATAATATATATTGATAAAAGAAATAATTTGAATTGAAAAGTTTTTTTTTTAATATTCAGTTTCTCATGTAGTAAATAATAAATATATAACAGAAATCTATTATTTATTACTAGCCTTTATATGTAACATTCTAACAAAAATATTCAAATGAAAAATTGAATGATTATCAAAACTGATTAATAGGAAAAATAGCCAATACCGATTAATCAGGTATCAGCTATTTTTACTTACTGATTAATCAGTGCATCCTTAATTTTTAGATAAAGAATTAATTTGAAAATCAGTGTTAACATATTTGTTCCCAGTTACATTGGTAAATAAGAATGAAGAAAGAAAAAAATTGAGATTTTGTATAGATCATCACAAAATTCAACACAGTTTCCATACCCAACAATCAACCTTTCCCCAGAATTGAAAAGATTTTCAATAAATTATAGAGAGCAAAATAATTAAGAAATTTACTTGTCACCTCAGGATTTTGGTATGTATCCATATATCCTAAAGATATTCATAAAATAGCATTCATGACTACAGATGATCATTAAGAGAGGCTTGTCATATTTTGTTTTAGCCTGGCTTCTGAAAAATTTTGTTTTGTGAATATTGTGTGTGTGTGTGTGTGTGTGTGAGAGAGAGAGAGAGAGAGAGAGAGAACTGAAGTTATGAAAATTTGCATAAATTAATCAATTAGATCTTCCTTTTCTAACAACTTTCAAGTTTGCTTTGGATTTTGCTTTTTAAAATGGAGCTTACTTGTGATGCAATAGCAAGTGAAAATGTTACAAGTATGACTAACTGTGACTTTTTGAAAATCTTTCAAAAGTAGCAAAAATTTATATCAAAATATATAAAACATAAACAATGTTCATTCTGTTATACATTCTTGGCAAAAACTTTTTTATGTAAATTAATGACATTGATAATAAAAGAAACTTGAAAATTTTATTTAAAAAAATATAAAAATTTTTTCTTACCATTCAGTAAATGTTTAAATCGAAAGAAAGCTATATCAATAAAAATCTGTATTTCATCTTCTTTACAACCAGCCAAAAATCTCAAAACCAAATTCCGTCTTGTCTGTGCATGATTCTTACCACTTGTACTGTTGCCAGTTTTGCATAACATTTTCCCATACAATATTCTAAAACAAAAAAAAGTATTATCAACAATATTATAAATTATTAAAATATAAATTACAAAATAATATTTACCTCATTAAAACAGGTAAAACATCCACTCTATGTTCTTCCTGAATTATTCCATTTTCACCTTCCAAATTAAACAACACTGTTTCAGTTTTAAATGTCTTATTATCCAAAAGACGATAAAAATTTTCACTGAAAAACATTTTGTAAATATGAAATAAATATTAATTAATCTCATAATTAATATGTAATAGTATAATATGTATAATGTATACCAAATTTCAAAATTATAATTTGAACTCTTAACACACTGTGCGTTATTGGAATACAGTGAGTTTATTTTTTATACAATTTGAATTCACACAAGCCTAGGGATGAGTTCCTATGGACTTATTCCTAGCTAGCCTAATAACTGAAATTTTGGTCCCTAAGGTTGAAGCAAGCACACTGCAAAGACTTCAGAGTGCTATCTGCTTTTGTAAATGATTTATAGACAACACCCATGTAATTTGGAAAGATCAAGGAAACCCAAGCCTATTTATAAAGACACTCTCTGCTGCAGATTTAGATCTCCTACTTAATAAAAATCAAAACTTATCATATGGTCCACATTCTGGACATTCAAATTCAAAAAGGATAGATGATCTTGAAATCATGACCTTTAGAAAAGACTTATTTGTTCCTATCTATATTTTTACATGTTTATGTAAATCATGGAATTATAAAATAGCAGTATTTGTATCCTTAATTAAAAGAGCATGCATATTACAGTGGTACCCTCAGGATACGAAATTAATCCATTCCGAAACTGAGATCGTATCATGAAAATATCATAAGGTGAATCATTTTTCCCCATATGATTACATGTAAAACCAAATAATTTGTTCCAACACGAAAAACACACTCAAATTAAAGCTAAGTAGTATATTAAAAAAAAAGAAAAAGAAAAACTATAGTAAGGAAAACACTGAAAAATGCATTTTGTAGTTGTAAATGTATAAATAACCATAATAGAATAATAAATGAAAAAAAAATGTAGTTTTATTTGCACTTTACCAGAGAGGGAGAAGGGAAATGATACTAAAACTTAACTTACATAACATAATATAACAATAACTTAAAAATAACTTAGAAAAGATAAAAAAATTAGTGTTGTTTTATATATATATATATATTTTTAAAAGTTTTATTCACTGCTTTTTGCTTTCTTTCCTTCACTTCCACCAGCACTTTCACTGGACAGAGGTCGCTTGGTAAAATATCTATCCTAAGAGGTTTGGCTTTGCCTACTTTTTAAAATGTTTCTAAATGACTTAGGCAAATGTCATTACTCTGAGCAGCAATATGGCCAGTGTGAACCTTTTTGGGATGTTTCTTTTCAATAAAATCAGTCACTTTCTGATAATACCTCAAGATTTCCTTTATCGGGCGAGATCCTTCCACGACGAAGCAAACATGCAGACTGAGACCTATGAACAGAAGTGAATAAAAAATGGCACTGTGAACTAATGTAACGTTGTATGGTGAGTTTTTGTTCGTATCGTGGAGCAAAAATATGTTTGAATTTCATGTTGTATCCTGAAAATTTCATATGCTGGGGCGTTCATATCCTGAGGTACCACTGTATGCTCAAGTTAGGAATACCTAAGAGTGTAATTTACTTGAGAAAATGACAAACTAATTTAGTACAAATAGCTTGGAGACTGTCATATCAAAATTTAATGAGACCATATCAAGCCTATAGAAAAGCTTTGCCTGGGTGATAATGTCAAATCAGCACAAAGGTTCAAATCTACAGATACAAGTTATATACTAATGTAATCAATAAAAAAGATTGTCTCCCTACCTAAATCATGAAACTGATTTTAAAAAAAATGAAAAATTGAAATCAACCAAGAACAATTCCTTCATTCACAGTAGATGAAGTGTTATCTAACAACAACTATGTTTGTAGCACTTGTAAGTATTTAAATTTTGTAAGTATTGTTTTACTCCAATACTTTTATTCCATACTTAATATAAGCATTTCACAGATTTACATGATTTAAAATTGCTGAAAATAAACATGTAATTCATATAATGTTTATAATGAATAATAAATAAAACTATAACTGTAATACATCAATTAATATTAAAATTAGTCTTAGATAATCACTTTAGAATTAAGTCTTGACCCATACTTAACATTTTTTCTATACAGAAATAAAAAAAATAATTAATATAAAAACTCTCACCTGTATGGTTTCAGAGATTTGTGACCAAATGTTATTAGACAATCAAAGGCTAATTTTTGAATTTCTGGATCACGAAAACTTAGTAACTGTAATTAATGAAGTAAAATAACAAATATGAAGAATACATCATAAAAAATTACAATGCAACCACTAAATGAAACAATGCATAACTAAACAAATAAATACAATTTTATATCAATGTTTAGTAAATTATAATTTTTTCATACTAAAATGTAAATTTTCGACTATAAATTCATATCTTCTATTATCAGGACTTATTATACTGGCTTTACAGATAATGCTACAAAGTTTAACAGAAAACAATTTTTATTTTATTCCATATACAGGTATATGGAATAAGTCCTGATAATAGAAGATATGAATTTATCAATACTAAAATGCTTATTTCAGGTAACTAAATATTTAATTTAAAAAGAATAAACATTTTAAAACAGTTTCAGCTTCCCAAACAAATATCATGAATATAAAAAAAACCATTGTTTTTTACACTCCTTTTCTTTTTTGAATTAAAAACATTTCAATGGCTGAAGTAAGCATTTTAATATTGATAATAATATGAGGCCTAAAATTTATGAAATTATGATTTATTTATTAAAAATATCTAAAATTCTAAAATTTTTCCAGATGATACGGAAATGTGTAATATTAACTCAAAAAACCATAAAATCCAGTAAAAAGGTACATTTATTAATGGAATGAACATTTTTGACCAAAATTAATGGCCATCTTCAGGTTCTACAATGGAACATAATAAATCAAACAGAAAGAAAATTTTAAAATAATAAGTATTCAATAAATTTACATAGCAAATCACATTTGCAAGAGCATAACATACAAATATATTGAATAAAATTAAAATAAAAAAAAATAATAACAACAAATACAAAACAAGTAAATAAATACAATGAGTTATACACATGTTATGAGTAAAAAACAAACTTAGCAAAAACTGAAAAAGAACAGTATAAAACTTCAAATAATGCCCTCCAACAATGTGACACTATTGCAGAATCCTTAAAGTTAATTGTGGTCCCTTTCTTGATAGCTTTATAAATTTCTGGAATTTCCAATTAATTAAGATTTGTTGGATCTGAGGCATGATGCAGTAAATGCATTCTGTCAAAAAACACATTAACATCAGAGTCACAAGCAAAGGCTGCCAAGGCTAGTGTACATAAATGTTTCTGAATAGTGTCTTCATGTTTCTTGATCTAATGCTCAATGATCTATATATCACTTTGACATATTTGTACTGATGATTCACTCTGTTGTCTCATAAAGGAACTGAGTAGATCCTAGGCAGAGTCATCTTATCAGTGGAATCCCTATCTTTCCTGAGTAATGAAAAGGCAGATAGGCTCCTTCTGTATGCAATTCTAAAGTTGGAGAAATCTGCTATTACCTTGTAGACACCATACAAAACTTTGTTATACATGATAATCCTACAGAGTCTACCATGATGCAGTGCCGTAACTAGGGCAGTGCCAGCAGTGCCCAGGCACAGGGTGCAGAAATGATCTGGACCAAGTTTTGGGTCATAGTTACAGAAGCTTGCACCAGACGCATAAAAGGCTAGTTACGGTGCTGTCATGATGATAGACCTTTTAGGACTGATGGAATTCATTTGTATGTGATAACAATGTATAAGTTATTAATAAACTTTGGCTGGTAACTATGGACAGTGGCTATACAGACAATACAACCTTACTCCTGGTCTCAGTTGTGAGTTGGAACAGTGGTTGTATGCTCTTTTAACAAGGGCCTTGAAGGCAGCTAGCTTTTAAGAAAATAAGTCATGCAAAGATGGAGGAATAAATAATGGCTTGTAAGAAATTTTATGGTAAATGTAGTAAAAAAAAAACCATTACATTTAGTAATAAGAACATCATGGAAATGCACCTTGTAATCACTCTGTTGCTCAAGGCAGAGTATTAAGCCATAAGGATTGTTGTTGGAAATATGTAATTATAACAAAAATACAAATATTTTATGTCAAAAATAAATTTTGGATATAAGAGAATGTAAATAAACAACCAATCTGAATATGCTATTTAACGAAATTATTAAATGTGAGATTATTTATGGCTATATTTTGACTAACTACTAGTAATTAATACAGTGTAATCTGCATTCTTAAATGCTACATAATAAATCAAACTTATATTATCATCTCTTGAGTATCATTGTGTATGTTTTTAAATGTGTTTTTCCTACAGTATTGTTTATTTATGATTATTTTTCATCATAAATTTTTCCTAATTTTACATAGTTTGTCTATTAGACTTAAAGATAGGATATAAATTGTAATCAGTTAATTTGTTTTCTATGTTCCAATAATTTGCAACTAAAAAATAAATCATTAATTTAATGTATTTTCAGAAAGCTTTCCATTTTAATTGCATTGGATTACTTCAAACTAATTTTATTGAATTAAAACAATATGAAATGTTATAGTTTAAAGCTAAATTAATTACAATTTCAAAAAAATGCTTGTTCGAAGATAAAAATAAACAAAATAAAAATGCTGTAGATAAATAACAAAATCAATCATAAGTTTTAAATACATTATCTGTGAAACTAATATTACTGTATTTCAATAACACTTTATTCTCCTAGAATGAAAATATATATCATTACTGTCATCACACACTAGTGTCTTATTTCACCCAACCATAGATTTATTTTCACTTAAAATTTTTTTGGAAATTTGCTATTTTTTTAAATTCTTTTCTTTCCTGATGAATTCCATTTACAGTCAAACCTTGTGTTTCAAATGCCTTGTTTTTCAAATAGCAATTCAAATGCCTTTGGTTTATGAACAAAATTTTGAACTCATTTTTGCCCTGATTCCTGTACAATAACTTGGTTGCCAAACAAGTTATTCAGCAGAGTCAACCATAAATGATAAACTTCCTATACTTCCTACGTTAAGTTGATGGCCTGACCAATCAACAATGAGATTACCAATTCAGACGTTAGTGTTGCGGAGATTGCCTCACATCATTAGATGCCATGATGCGAATTATCAATGATGTTGCTATTTAAACTGCGTTTCAATGCACATGTGAGAAAGATACTGTTTCTCTTTTTTTGGTTGGAATGACAGTTGAATCAAAATGAGATTAATTCATAAAAACTGCATTAATTGACATTCACATAATATAAATGGCATCCCAGAATTCATGTTTAAATACGTTTAAGTAAACTTAAATGACAATTTATTAATATAATATTAATACTAGGTAGCCAGTTAATTAAAACTAAAATCAATGAAATAAAACTCTGGCCTTTACACTGAAACTGAAACTAAAATTAATTAAAATTGAAATCAAATCAATTGAAACATAATAATTTGTAAAGTAAGGATAAAGTACTTGTTGTCCATGTTGATTGATTTGATTATATTTCATCCAGGCAGTTGGAGCTGAGTTTCTATTTATAGCAATTCTTTGTAAAGTGCTAGTTTTGGTTTTGGTTGGCAGTGACAAACATTTTGCTTTTAATATATATATATTTTACACTGAAACTGAAACTAAAATTAAAATTGAATCAATTGAAACATAATATTTTGGAAAGTGTGGATAAAGTACTTGCTGCCCATTTTGATTGATTTGGTTATATTTCATTTTGGCAGTCAGAGTTAAGTCTCTATTTATAGCCCTTCTTTGTAAAGTGTTAGTTTTGGTTTTGGTTGGCAGTGACAGAATATTTTGCTTTTAATATACATAGAATAAATATATAGATATAGAATAGATACAGATGAAATAATATATTGCCTTTATAGGTATTTTTATGCATGAAATACAGCTAAAAATATAAAAAAATGTTTTGTTTTGGGGTAGGGAATGGATTAATTCATTTTATATTATTTCTTACAGGAAAATTTGTTTTAGATTTAGAAGAACTTTTAGGAACAAATTAAGTTCAAAACCACAGGTTTGACTGTAGTTATTTCTTTGGGTTGTAAAGGTAATTTACAGTTTGATTTGAGAAACTCTGGTAAAGTTTTTGTTTAGTTTATCATGTGAAAATTAACATTGTGACAATGGTATTTTGCCAGGGCAACTCACTTTATTGGTGTTAGTTTTAAAGCAGGTCAACTGTATTTCTAAAAATATATCCATTTACATAGTGCATACAGTAAGGAAGATAAAATATTAAAATTATATGATAGTTTGTTTATTAGATTAGAAAATATTACAGTCAAACCTTGCTTAATGAGCATAATTCATTCTAGAATCTTACTCATAATGCAGAACACTCGTTAAGCAAAACAATTTTTCCCATATAAATTAATGTAAAATACGATAATGCGTTCCATGTTGGAAAAAATACTCAAATATTNGAAAAACTTACATTTTTAATCCTTATTTTGATAATGATTACTGTACATTAAAAAAATCATAAATGCACTTACTTCTAGATTCTATTTTTTTTTTTTTTTTAATATTAAATGTTTAGTAGTATAAGAATTTCTGAAGACTCTGGTAACTCTTTATAAGCCATTTACTGTGTGTGATTAGTAATTACTTGTTACTTTTATAATCTGCCTTTGCAAATATTCAAAGTACTTTTTAATGTTTTTATTACTCTCAGAACCTCAAAATCTGAGAATAATGAATGAATATTGATTATTGTTTATCATTTCACTTATTCTATGAACAGTAATTCTATTTGATTATATAATTTAACATTGTACAGAAATAAAAAAACGCCATATAATGAAGACATTAATTTATATATTAATGTTAGTAAATTTTGAATTAGATATAACCTCTTGAATCATATACACACAACTGATAGTAAATAAACTTGAAAAATAAATCCCAATTTGTTAAAAAAATAATAAAGTTTTTATTTTTTTGAGCTGGTAATATGTAAGAATTCTAATGCCTCCAAGTTTTGAAAGGAAATAACCTAGACTTGTAAGTTCTATACTTTAAGAAATGCTGTTGTTGTTTATTAACAATTTCCTTTAAGTGGAGACTTGAGCACAATAACTGTTCAAACAACACAACACAACTACAATGTAAGAAATCTACATTAAAAATATGTAAAAATATTGGAAAAATTAGATCTTAGAAAGTATGACAAAAATTTAAAATTATTTTTTTAATGATTTAAAGTCA